CTTGCAGACATTGCAACGCCAGCGACCAGCGAACGGGCGAAACTTGTGCGCACTATCGCGGAACGCCTGGTCAAACTTAGTGGGCTTGCGGACCTTGGGCGCTGGCGGAGCTCTCACCCCTTCCCAAGGTTCAACCTCGAGCGCCAGCATCATAGCCCTTCTGGCCCTTCTACGCACCAGTGCCGCCGTCGTGTCCCACAGGTCAGTCCGAGGGGGAGGGGCCACAACGCACCAATCCCAGGACCACTGGGCCACCACCCCCGCATAGGCGTCGGCACTGGCGTTGCCCTGGCACATAAAGATATCAAACGGGGAAGTTACCGACTGCAAATTTTCCTCCATGTGGGAGGGCGTCCAGAAAAGAAAAACTTCCCCAGGGCCACGGGAGCGGAGAGCCCGAGAAGCACGAACCCACAAGTCCCCGTTCGGGCCCCGAGGGGAGGAGGCACGGCCACCGTGCCAATCAGAAATCAAACTCTTGCAGTCGGTAATATAGCATATCGGACCATAGGAGTGCTCAAGCGCGAGACAGAAGGCCTGGAGCTCTGCTCTAGGAACCGTTTGCCGACGGCCTGACAAAACCTGTCCTACACCGCACTGAGGCACCCAAGAATTAGGCGATGAGGGGTCCTGGCACATCATCACCACGGCCGAGCCACATCGCCTGCGCCTGGGATCCGAGCTGAACTCGCCCCCAGATCCGTCACCGAAGATAAACACAGGAGGGCCGCCAGGCTCCGAGCAGAAATCCGCCAAGCAGCCATCTCCCAGAAGGACCTCCTGGGCCGTTTCCGAAGTCTCAACAAACCTAGGCACCGTGAGGTCCTTCGAGAGCACTCCCCTGAGCCACAAGGCAGGCTGGGCCTCAAGGCCCGCGAGGGCCTGGGGGGCCAAAAAATCCGTTTTTGAAAAGTCTTCGTGTCCGCAGTTGGCTGGGCATAGCCAAATGCGATGAGCTAAAGTCTCAGGCTGCTCCCTGCATCGGGGGCACAGCGGCTGGCAGGAATATCCTGCGGCTATCTGCCGCTCACGAGCCCACTGGCCCCCCGAGATGACGGCAATGTCGGCGGCCCACTCGTCGAACTTGGACCTGGCAGCCAAGCGGTTCAGCTCAATCTGCACCGTCGTCAAGTCCGCTCCTGCTGCCAGATCCTCGCCCGCCTCATGGTGGGCCGCTTCCTTCCACTGCAGCTGAACACAATCATCCATGAATGCGCCGAGCATGTCCTCAAAATGCGAAGGAACTGCTGTAGCGAACTGCTCATCTCCAAAAGCAGGAAACAACCAATCATCGATCGTACCATCTGGCAAAGGGCGTGACCAGACATCAGGACTTTGCGGATCCCAGCCAATCTGCAAGAGCGTGGCCTGCACCGCGGCGATGGGGCCGCGCACATCCTTCCACTTCACCACCTGTCGCTCAGCAGCGCCACGTCGCAACTTCGCCAGTGTGATCGGCCACATCTTGCGAATGCGAGGATGGAGCATCGGCTGGGAAAGCCACAACGCAATCCACTCCTTAATCATCTGCTTCCTCAAATCAATGCCAGGATCAGAGACCCCAAACACCGCTTGTAATACCGAATTCAAACACCTGCCACGCTTCGCCCCAGCAACGCTCGCTGCAGCATCCCGCCTCAAAGCCAACAGAGAAGATGGAGGGGTGCCCATTATCTGATGGCCAAAGACTGCAGCAGGTAACACTCCAGTGCTGAAGAGCTTCTTGGTGATGAACCTGGTCTTGGGTAGTTGCCTCAATCGCATAACTCTTCGCTGCCGCCGTCGAGCCTGTGCACGTCGTTTCATCATCCGAGGCGCTGTTCGCCGACGCCCTGCAGCAGCATCAGAGCCCAAGTCAACAGTTGAGCGCACGAACTGCACAGGGATACCTTTGCGAACCAGTCGTCGTTGTAACTCCACACCAATATCATCAGAACTGGCGACAAGCTTCGTTTTGTCAGAAATCTTCAACCTGAGCTTCTTGAGCCCCGTGGCCATAGCGTCAGCAGAAGCGTCCAAGTTATCAATCACCTGCTGCTTTTTGCCCTCTGCCCGACCAACAATATCATCAATATAACTCCACAATCCAGTCGGGGGACAAGCACGGTGAACCTCCTCCAGCAACTGATGAAGCATAACTTTGGCGAGCGGAACACCATGTCCAGAACCAGCGACGATCGAACGTGAAACCACCAAGGCGTCCGATATCATCTGGCCCTTCTTCAAAAGCCTGGGAGAAGAGTAAAGACCCACTTCCAATAAGAGGATGATAGCTGGAAATCCGATATTCAAGCCTGCCTGCATCAGCAACACGAAAGACACAGAGTCGTAAAACTTGGTGAGATCCAAGAAAAGTGTCGCATGCTCAAAGGACAAGGCGTTGGCGCCTTCATCCATCACAGCTCTGATCAGTGCCGCTCTGAGCGCTGAAGATCCAGCAATAGCAGTATCCCAAAAAGCAGATTGGGCAGCTGACCATTCACCTGAGTGTTTCGCACGCACCTTAGACCATATTTTGTGCGGCGTCGGGACAAGCCCCAACACTCTGTTGCCTCCAGCTTCCTTGGGAATCGCAGCACCCAGGACCGAGCTGAGGGACGACGGCCAGGCGCCAGCCTGCTCAATATTGTTCAATATATTCACAAGACACTGCCTTGCCACCAAAGGCTGCCGCTGAATATCCATGGGGTTCAGCACGTCCACGCCCTTCGCCTTCTTCGCTGGCAGCGTGGGCAGCACCGCGTCCACGTCCATGATGGCGATGGCAGGAAGTGGGTCGTCTCGCGCAGCTGCGAGGCACTGGCCCATCATATACAAAATATCTGAAGGCTGATCGACAGGATCTCGCCACATCACATTCCATTCAGAGGCAGACGTCTGAAGCATCGTCTGCTTGTCCGTGGTGATAGCACCTGCCGCGTCGCAGCCCTCCCACTCCAAGGGCGGAGCCTGCTTCACATGCCGATGTACAGCACCAGGCTTAGATGACCAGGACTCCTTCACCCACTTGACAAAGGACGAGCGCGAAGCTAACAAAGCCCGCGAAGTCGACAAGCCCGCCCACTTGCGTGTAGTGTCCACCAAAGAAGTAAGCTGGCCAACAGGAACGCGATCCAAATCAGCAGCCATAGCTTTCCACAACTCAATCTCCTCCACGGTGGACTTCTTGCCGAAGTACTCGACCGTCTTGTCAGCAGGCAAGACTCCAATCCTGGCCTGTACTTCACGTGCACAATAAGCAGCCTGATCAGGATCAGCCCCATTCACACGGAGAGCCGCATGCCGAAAAAGCAAAGTGCTGACAACACCCCACCACTCGGCCTGCTCGTTCTTCATGTGAGCGCGCCCAGGGGAGGAAGTGACCTTGGCCCAATAGCAAGCAGGGCCACGAGCACGACCTGCGAACTGCATCCAAGTGCTGGGATCGACCTGCTCGTGAATCAAGGTGGCACGCTCCAATGTGGAAATCCAAGCGCCGTAGGACTCATCCAGCCGCGCACGCTCCTCAGATTGCCATTCAAAGACAAAGTGCTGACTGCGGTCAAAAGCTGCAACTTTGCCGCGGGCACCCTCTGGCTGATCCTCAAACAACTGAGGGAGGCCCTCCCAATGCACCTGTGTCTGAGCTTCAAACCAAGTCTCCTCAGGAATGGCGAAAGACACAGTGGGCTCTGGCGGAGGCGCTGGCGGCTCCAACTCGTCGAAGCCCTCCTGGAACTCGATGGGGAGCGCCTGCATGCGCCTCTGCCTCTGCTCTTCTCTCCTTTTAGACCGCTTGCTCGCAGGATCAGCAACTGCAACAGGTCTGTCACGAACAGGAAGAGGCTTGGGCACTGCCAAATGCCTATACCATCGCTGAGAACGGGCAGCCTTCACGGTAACCACCACCCCACAATGTGTCTTCCATGGCACACGCAACTCAGCTCGAAGCGTCAACTCAGGACAACCAACACTGGCAAGACCATAATCGTACATACGCCCAGGCCCTTTGTCGCAGGTCGCACGGCAAGACGGCGTCACCACGACGGCGCCGAGCTTCTGGGGCCAACGGCAAGACGGCGTCACCACGACGGCGCCGAGCTTCTGGGGCCAACCAGTGCCTCGCAAGGCCGCGGGCTCGATGTTCCAATCCGCCATGACCAGCCAGGGGTCCGCGAGCGCGCGCGTGAACGCCCCCAGCGCCACCAGCACGTCATGGTTCCAGCCCTTCACGCCGAGGCCTGGCTGGAGGTAGGCAGCGATCAGGATCAAGTTGCCGCCCTTGGTGTGAATCACCGTCGGCACGAAGCCACGGCAAGGGTCCAGGCGCCCAGCCGCGAGCGCCGTACGCCGAGCACTCTCAAAGCTCGACGTCGCCACATGTTTCTTCGCCAGAATCCACTCGCCACCAGACAAGCCAGCCTCTGACTTGCCCGAAGGCCGAGCGGCCGTGTAAGCCAGCCGCCAGCCGTCCTTATCAATCGCCTGGCAGATGTCTGGCATGTCCTTCTCACCTTTGTGTGTCTCAACAAGGGCCACGATGCTGCGCTCCTGCTCCTGAGCAATGAAACGCGCAGCCTGCGGGCCCCACTCCGTGATGTTGCCGAAAAAGATGTCCAAAGACGTGTCGTCATCAGACTCTGAATGAGGTACGCCTGCAGCTTCCCCCCTGCAGGACGGGGAGCGAGCCGTGCTAAACACGGCCTGCACCAGCACCAGCAGCAGCAGCGCCCTTGCCAGCGCCCGCATTGCCGCCTTTGCCAGCGCCAGCGGCCTTGCAATCAGCGGCCGCACGCGCCTGAGCCTGGGCGCAGGTCTTGATGCGCTCCAGCATGGCCTTCTGGTCGCTCTCCTGCACCACGACCTTCGCCTTGCTGGGCCCAGCAGCGGCAGCCGCGGCGCCAGGCGCCGCAGCGGCGCCAGAGCCAGCCGCGGGCGCGCCCTCGGCGCCGCCGCCAGCAACAGCTTCGCCGTCGGCGCCGCGCTTGCGCCGCTTGGCCGCCGCCGCCGTGTGCGCCGACCTCGTACGCTCCAGCAGGTCCTGGAACTCCTTCTGCTTGGCGTCGACCAGCTGGGTGACCTCCTCCAGCTGCTTCTGGAACTGCTCCAGCGCCTGCCTGTCGGACTCCTCCAGCTCCTCGAGGCACTCGAACAGCCCAGGGTCCAGGACGAAGCCCGACTGCTTGGTGGCCGCCTCGGGCGGGTTCGCCGCCTCCTGCACCTCCAGACGGTACAGATCAGCGGCCAAGACAGCGTCCGCCGCCTCGTCGAACTTGGCCTGGTCCTTCTCGAGCTGGAGGCGGGACTGCTCCAGCTTCGCCGCGGCCTTCTCCAAGGCTTCCTGCTTGCGAGAGCAATCCGCCGTGGCCTCCTTGAGCAGCGCATGCTGGGGCTTGGGCGGCGGCGCAGGGGCCGCCGCGAGCTTCTGGGACGCCAGGGTGCTGAACTCCGTCGCAAGGCGCGCCGCGTCTGGGTCCCCCTCGAGCCCTGCACCAGCGAGAGCCTTCGACAGGTAGTCCCCGAAGTTGGCGAGAGACGGCTTAGACTTCCCATGGTCATGCCACCCGCCGCCCGAGGACCACGGCGCCCACCACGTGCCGCTCGTCGTAGTACTCCATCCTGGCTGAGGGGTGTTGCAGACAGCGCACACCCCCTTCTGCTTCTTGAGCCTCCAATTCCACGCCCAGTTGCCACACTGCACGCAAATGGAGAAGCCCTGCTTGCCATACTTGACCATCCGCTCCAGCAGGAGCTCACGATGTCTGCTCCAACAGGAGCTCACAAAAACACTACAGACTCGGGAGACAGAGCTATCCCAGTTTGGCACGGAGGCGCGGACGGTTCAGAGCCGGAGGAGGAGGAGGAGGGGAGGAGGAGAGAGAGGAGGAGGGAGGAGGAGGAGGAGGAGGGAGGAGGGAGAGGAGGAGGAGGAGGAGGAGGAGGGGAGGGGAGGAGGAGGAGGAAGAGGAGGAGGCGGAGGAGGCGGAGGAGTGCCTGCGTCGCCGCCGCTGCCGCGTGCTCCCTGCGGCCGGCGCCGCCGCCGCCCATGGGCGGTGCCGCCCCCGCCGCGCCGCGGCTGCGCTCCCCTCGCGCAGCGGCGGCGGCCCCGGAGCCCCCGCGCGTCCCGGGGACGGCCTCTGGCGGCGGGCGGCGGGCGGCGCTGCGCGAGGGCGGCGGCCTGCAGAGGGCCGCGGTGCCCACGGGCCAGAGCTCGCAGACCTAGAGGTTAGCACCAACACCAGTGTCGGCGGCGTGCCTCCACCGAGGGAGGATGATCCCGATCTCGGTGATGGTGGTAGTATTCGGGCTTCCACGGTGGCCGCAAGATTACCACCAACACCAAAATCTGGGATCAGCTTCCAACGGTTGGGGCAGACCCCAGTGTTGGTGTTGGTGCCCATTTCCAAGCCTCCTCCTCCTCCTGCTCCTCCTGCTCCTCCTGCTCCTCCTGCTCCTCCTGCTCCTCCTGATCCTGCTCCTCCTCCTCCTCCTCCTCCTCCTCCTCCTCCTTCTCCTCCTCCCCCTTCTTCACCCCCCAGTCGGGTCACCCCCCATCACCACCCGCCCGAAGCGGGTGCCGCAGCACGCCTCGTCCAGCATCTCTCTGGTGCTGCCTCCGCGGCGGTGTGCGGCAAGTGCGCCGTGGCCGACGCGGACGCTGCGGGGCGGCCGCCTCGCGCGGCCATCACGCTAGCCCTGCCTTCGGTCAGAAGCGCGAGGGGGGTGCAACGGGGACGCGGCCGCAAGAAACCCCGGGAAGAAACCCAGCCGTGAAATTCCGCGAAGTTTCTTGCCCAGGGTCTGGGTCTCTTGGACAAAGGCTCCATTCGGAGACGCAGAAGGCATCCTGGCCCGAGAAATTTCTTCCCGGGGCATGATACAGAAAGACGCGAGGTGCGATTTGGGGAGAAACCCAAAATATCCAGGGGGCAGTGGTTTCTTAACGGAAAACCGAATGGTTTCTTGGTGCGCGTCCCCACTGAACTCTGCATGTGGCAACACGCTGCCAAGAAACTCTCATATCGAGAGGTCCGCGAAAGCATTTAGGGTTCACTCCTGGGTCTGCTCAGGCTGATCCCGAAATTTGACGGCTTCCCCTCCCTACTTGTCCCGCTGCATGCTCCTAAACTTCGGTGATCGCCGCAAATCGGTTGGGCCTCTTGTTCTGGATTGGCTGGTGGCGATCCCAGCCCCAGGTTGCCCTTCAGGAAAAGTGCATGGCCTGCGTTCGGCCAAGAATTTCTGACGTGGTGTCTTATATCTCTGGGTCATCCTCGCATGTCCGCGTGGTCATGAAGAGGGCAACGTCGCGGTGGTACCTACGGAGATTCTGATCGATTGCGAACGTGCCGAATTGCTTCACAAACGACTTGAAGCCCGCTGTGCGCCAGAATAGGCCCCCTTCGGTCTTGCGTGATGCTCAGCAACAGCGTGAGAATGGATGCTCACGTCGTAGAGGTGTATACCGGGATATGTCGGACGTTGACACGGTGATGTTCCATGTGCTCTCGCACGGTCACAGTTCACGTTTGCAGCTCTCCGTCTGGCCACCACGCTTGGATAGTATCGTTGATGTGGGGTCCGAACATCGCCTTCGCTGGAGCCCGCGCCGGGAAGGATGGGGATCGCCTCTCAGCATGGAGAGGCATTTATGTTCCACCTTGCTTTAAGTCGGGCCTGTCCCCCTACAGGGGGATTTTCGACGAAACATTAAAAATACAAAAAAAAAAAAATCCATTTTGGCCAAAAAGTTGTCAAAAAATAGTCCCCAGACTGTTTTTGGATTATTTTTGGAATATTTCTGGGCATTTTTAATTTGTCGTCGAAAATCCCCCTGTAGGGGGACAGGCCCGACATAAACCTTGCTTTTGATGTTCCTCCCACGCCCTATCCTCTCGTCAAGGGCTCAGCGACTTCTGCCGTCCCTCGCATTGCGCTGGCACGGGCACGGCTTGAATCAAATGTCCCTGGAGATACTGGTCTACTCTGTAAGAAAGGTTTTTTGAAGGCAGATCTGCCTTCAATTCGCCGGCCCAACGGGCCAGAGGCGTGCTAAGATCTCCGGTGACTGCTTTACAATCTTTCTACTTCGCGCGCGCGGGGCGGCCCCTGGGGGCCCCCGGGCGGAAAGTGCCCCGGCAAGGTCCCGAGAGAGTCCCGGGAGGAGTCACCAGGGCGCTCCAGCAGCGCACCAACGCGGCTCCGAGACGTCCCCGAGAGCCCCAAGAAGGGCCAAGAGGCTTCCAAGAGGCCCCCAGATGCTACATGAGGGGTCGGAGATGCCACAAGATCGCTCCAAGACGCCCACGATGGCCCCCAGACGCCCCAAGAGGCCTCCAAGAGCACTCCCGAGAGGGCCCCAAGAGGCAAAATTCACTGCTTTTCCTTAGGTTTTGGAGAGATTTTGGCGTTTCCACCTTTTCGGCTTCACGACACCCCAAGACGGCCCAAGAGGCCCCCAAGACCGCCCCAAGAGGGCCCAAGAGGCCCCCAAGAGGGCCCCAAGACGGCCCAAGAGGGCTCCAAGACGGCCCAAGAGGCCTCCAAGACGGCCCAAGAGGGCCCCAAGGCCCCAAGAGGGACCCCAGGGGGGGAACACGAAACAATATTTCGAGCCCTCGGCCCTCAGAAGTCCCCAGGAGGCCCCAAGAGGCCCCTAAGAGGCCCCAAGAGGCCCCCAACAGGCCCTCAGGAGGCCCCCAAGAGGCCCCCAAGCGGCCCCAGGAGGCCACCCAAATGCCACCCCCGAGCACGCAAGCAAGTGCCAGCGACGCTACACTATGGGCCGGCGGAATGAGCGAAGCAATTCAATAAATGGTTGATTTAAGGCAGATCTGCCTTCAAACAATTGTTTTTTGAAGGCAGATCTGCCTTCAAAAAACCGTTCTTTTTGAAGGCAGATCTGCCTTCAAAAAAACGTTCCTTCAAAGAACCGTTCTTACAGAGATCCTGGGATTCACCGGGATTTGCCTGGATGTGCCTGCGCGTGCACTGCTCTCTCCGGCCCGATCCCCGCACGCCGGCTGGCGAACAGCCGTCAAGCCCTCAGAGCTGCTCCCCCCTTCAGAGTCGACCCCTGACCTGTCCCGGAGCGTGACTTCGACCAGGATGTCGATGAAGGGGCCCCAGGACACACACACACACAAATACACACACATAAAGTTATCCCCCATATTTTCCCATATTTTTTGAGTTATTGTCTTCCCCCCCACTTCCCATATTTCCCCAGATTCTCCTGGGAGTGGACGATTCATAGTGTCTGTGTGTGGTTTTCCTCTCCTGAGTCGAGGCGGACCCGGCCGCGGCGACGAGGACCCCCTCCCCTGGGAGGCGGCGACGCGGCGAACACACCCGGGTCCTCTCTCCCCCTCGAAGTTTCGCCCCCCGCCCTCCTCGAGGATCGAGGAAGGCTCTCGAACGCTTCTCGTGCCTCGAGGGACCTCCGTGGACCTCTGCGGGTCAGGATACGGGGCGGGAACAAAACTTACCACTCCAAACCTCTCTCCAAACCTCTCCTCCTCCTCCTCCTCCTCCTCCTCCTCCTCCTCCTCCTCCTCCTCCCCCTCCTCCTCCTCCTCCTCGACGGCCAGAGGTCTCCGAAGGCCTCCTGAGGGCAGCCGAAGTGCGAATGATACTCCAAGCGTCTTCCAGAGGCCCCCGAACACTTACACCTTGTCGAAATAACGTCCCGCCTCTATCCTCCTCCACCTCCTCCTCGACACTCCTCCTCCTCCTCCTCTTCCTCCTCCTCCTCCTCCTCCTCCTCCTCCTTCTCCTTCTCCTCCTCCCCCCCCCCCACAGGCCTCCGATGTCACGCCCTTGCGCTTGAGATGGCGGGCCCCCCGTGCCCGGGCCGTGCTCGAGAGGTCCCGAAATCCCAGCGGGGTCTCCGGCCGCCGAGCCCAGCACCCGCCCAAAACGAAGGGAGGCTGGGCCCGAACTGCAAATGAAGCGCTGTCATAAGGAACCCCAGATAATCGGTGTCGTTTAACCACCCCCCAGGAGGAGGAAGAGGAGGGATGCGGAGGAGGAGGAGGAGGAGGAGGAGGAGGAGGAGCAGGAGGAGGAGGAGGAGGAGGAGGGGAGGAGGCGAGCAGGCAGGGAGAGGAGGAGGAGATGCAGAGGGGCCAGCGGATGGGAGGAGGGAGGAGAACGAGGAGATGTAGGCAGGACCTTAGGAGGAGCAGGAGGAGGAGGCCTGAGAGGTAAAAAGAGGAGGAACTCTCAAGGGCCCAGGAGGAGGGGAGAGGAGCGAGGAGGGCGCTCTGGGGGAGGAGCGTGAGCCACAGGGAGGAGGAGGGGCTCAGGAGGACTCCCAAACCTGCCTAGAGGATGGCCCGAAGAGGAGGCAAAACGGTCCAAGAGGGCCTAAAAATCTCCCCAAGCTCGCTCCCAGGCGCCAGAGATGGCCGCAAGGGGCCTCCGAAGCCCTCACTGCTCATCCCTAAGCGCCCCTAACCTCCTGTTTGCGCCCGGCCGCTGTTTGGGCCTTCACAGCGTCAACTACGGCCCATGGAGTACCCATAATCGCTCCCAGACTGCCCAAGAGGCCCCCAACAAAGCCCTAAGACGGCCCAACAAGCGTCCAAGGCAACCCATGGGTGCCCCAAAAGGGAAACGCGGGGGAGATTTTGAGCTCTCCGCCCAAAGGGACCGGTCCTTCGAGACCACCAGCAGGCGTCCAAGATGGCTCCAATAGGCCGCCAGACGCTTTCAAGAGACTCAAGCGAGGCTTCA